TGGTCCCTTTGCTTTGCCAAGCTTGTTCCAAGCAGGTGCTTTAGACCACTGAGCCATCTCACCAGCCCCGATAGTTGCTTTTTGTGTACTGATCTTGTATCCTGCAACCTTCATGAACTTCTTAGTTGTAACATTTTTAGTAGATTCCTTGAAAAGATTTTTCCATATGCAAGATCATAACAGCAAATTAGGCAAGTTTTACTGCCCTCCTTTATCTTGCTTGCTGGCCCTGGCTCTTGTCTCTGTTATATAACATTAAGTACAAGCGGCAGGATCCTATGCCCTCGTCTTGCTGCTGATCTTTTAGGGGCAGACATTCAGTTTTTTGATCTGTAAATGCATTAACTTCTCACTGCTGCCCTTAATGAGAATTGAGAAAATTTATTCTTAGTTCATTGAGTATCTTTATAATGAAAAAGTGTTAAATTTTGTCCAGTGATTCTTCAGCATTGAGACAATCATATAATTCTTTTGATTATTAAATCTTGTATTCTTCAGATATATTCTCCTTGATTATAGTACATATTCTTTGTTTATGTGCTGTCGGATTCGTATGCCACCCTTTTTCTTTCTTTTTTTTTTAGCAGAACCAGGGATTGAACTCGGGCCCTTGTGCTTGCCAGGGAAGCGCTTATTCTACTGAGCCGTCTCCCCGGCCCCGCCACCCTTTTCCTTGAAAATGTATATATTCATAAGGGATGTCAGTCTGTATTCTTTGTTATGGTATCTTTGTCATCTCATATGTTTTTATATTTATAATCAATATGTGTTAATTTTAAAATCTAGAAAAATACGTACTTAAAAATTAAGAATGAAAACAACCCACAAACCTTCTTATTTAATCGTAGGCTCAAATGAAGGATTATCAGCGTGAATTGGAAGAAGCTCGTGCATCCCGAGATGAGATTTTTGCCCAATCCAAAGAGAGTGAAAAGAAATTGAAAAGTCTGGAAGCTGAGATCCTTCAATTGCAAGAGGTTTGTTTATTATCCATCCATTTGTTGGCAAATATTTACCCCTGACATTTCTGTCAAACCAGTTATGGTATATATATTTGATATCTTCATTGCTTAATTTCAGTATCTATTTTAATGACTATCTCATTGTTTTAATTCAACAAACAGAAAATGGTTATTAATTGTGTCTATCCCTGTACTTCACTAAAGGCAAAATAGCTGACCTTCAAGCCACCTTCGTGTTGGACAATTTTTTTTTTAAATTTTTTTATTTATTTTATGTGTGTGTGTGTGTGTGTGTGTGTGTGTGTG